TATGTGGTGTGTGGTGTGTGTGTTGTTTGGTATGTATGTCGCGTGTGGTGTGTGTACGGTGTTTGGTGTGTAGTGTGTGGTGTGTGTAGTGCTTGGTGTGTATGTTTGTGTGTGGCATGTGTGTATGGTGTTTCGTGTATGTAGTGTGGTGTGTGGTGTGTGTATCGTGTTGTGTGTGTGTGGTGTGTATCCCCACGGTGGGGAGTGGGGGTAGCAGCCGCTGGTGGTGGGACATTCTGGCCTGCATTCTGGGCAGAGGATTCCAGGGGAAAATGGGCACAAAGGGATTCAATAAGTTGCCCAAGGACACGCAGAGCATGGGTGGACATGGAGCAGGGCCCTGGGCCCTCCCTTTCCCTCATGCCAGCAGGGAGGGTCTCTGGCACTTTACGGTGGGCAGTCAGGGTAGGGCGGAGTGGGCAGAGCACCCTCCTGCAGAGATGATGCCAGTGTGCCTTCCACGTGCCATGTCTTGCCCACCACCACGCTTACTGGTCCTTCAAAGGATGAAAGAGTGAGCGGCCCACAGTGTATGTATCTACCCCTGGGTCCCCGCTGCCAGGGGCGGGCCTTTCTGTTGATAATCAGTGTTAGCTACAACAGTCCTGATGACCAGTGGTGGCAGCAGAGGCGGTTGGGAGTGATGTGCCGATCTGCAAGTGTGGGGACCCCACAGCCTCCCCTAAGTCAGCGCTGGTGGAGGTCAGGGAGCAGGTGAGAGCTACGGCCAGGAGAGCGGCAGCAGAGCGCGTGCCTGGGGCTCATGCTGCAACCTCTGGGCAGTGTGCCTCCAAGGGGTCACTTGGAGGACTGGGCTGTCAGCTTCGGCCCACACGGGACGCCCTCTGGGCAGGCCCTGTCCTTGGGGCCCATGAGTGACAGCTCCACTCCAGCCCAGTGGACAGCTATTTCTGGCACACCTACCGTGTACCAGGCTGTGTGCACAGACCAACATGGGGTGTGTCCTAGAGGTCAAGGGGCCGGGGGGTGTGGCACTCATGGTGGGGCTGGGGGTGGTGGCTGGCAAAGTGACTGGCCCAGGCTCATGGAGGGAGGAGCAGGAGCAGGCTGAGCAGAGTTGGGGCCTCCTGCAGGCCCTGACCGGCAGGCTCGGCTCGTTGATTGATTTAGTGCCTACTGTGTGCCAGGCACTGTGCTAGAGGCTGGCGGTGGCAGCAGGGAAAAAAACAAAGAGCCTGGCCCTTGTGGGGTGGGGGCACAGATAAGAGGCAGCGGAGACCTGAATCATAGATGCGTCCTCCGGTCACTGGAGAATGGAGGACAATGGCTGAAAAGCAGGGAGGGCAGGGGCTGGGGGTGCCAGTTGGGGTGCAGTTCTAAATGAGGGAACTGCATGGGGCCTTGCTCTGAAGAGAACCAGAAAACAGGCATACAGTCCCCTGCCTTGGTCCCTCAGGCACCCCAGGAGGCCGTATGGATGGACAGTGTGGGTAGGTGGCGGGTGTGGGGACGCCCACAGCTCCGAGTGAAATGCTCCTCCCAGCCTCGGGGGGACGGAGGTGCCTGGAATCGTCCCTGGAGGGTCAGCCCCTTTTGCACAGAAGAGATGTGTGGGGGACAGTGCAGGTGTGGAGGGGAAGGTGTCAGGGTGTACGTACTGATGACTGTGCACCCTGCCAGGAACGCCCAAGCCGCAGGTCACATGGCGGAAGGGCCTGTCCTCGGAGCCCCTGCATGACCGGCCAGGTGTGGCGGTGCTGGAAGAGGGCTCTCTATTCCTGGCCTCCGTCTCACCCACGGACAGTGGAGACTACGAGTGCCAGGCCACCAACGAGGTGGGCTCCACGTCCAGGAGAGCCAAGCTGGTGGTCTATGGTGAGCAGGGAGCCAGAGCTGGGGGCAGGAGAGGAAAGCGGCAGGGACCCAGGGATGGGCCTGTCTTCCTCCCAGGAGTGCATACGGCCGGAGGCCCACAGTGATGCTGGGGGTCTGACAGTACCACGGGGTGCCCAGGTGTGGCAGTGCCAGTTCCCCAGGGCCCGAGAGCTTCCTACACAGGAGGATCAGGTCCTGCCACCAGGTGCCAGTGACGGGGAGATCTTGAGGGGCCTGGGAGAGTGGCAGGTTGTACTGGACACCCCACTTCCCTAGAGAGACCCCCACGGAGACAGCATGGGGGAAGCGCCTGGGACAGTGGCAGGTTGTACTGGACACCCCACTTCCCTAGAGAGACCCCCATGGAGACAGCATGGGGGAAGCACCTGGAATTCCATCAGTGTCTTTGATACTGGTCTAGAGGTGAAGATAGTTTAAGATGACCCCTTGGCTGGGCGTGATGGCTCGTGCCTGTAATCCTTGCACTTTGGGAGACTGAGGCAGGAGGATTGCTTGAGCCCAGGAGATCTAGACCAGTTTGGGAGAGACAGATCCTGTCTCTACATAAAATAAACTTTAAAAATTACTTTCGAAAATGAGCATGGGGCCGGGCGCAGTGGCTCAAGCCTGTAATCCCAGCACTTTGGGAGGCCAAGATGGGCGGATCACGAGGTCAGGAGATCGAGACCATCCTGGTTAACATAGTGAAACATTAGTATTTTTGTACTAAAAAATACAAAACAAAAAAACTAGCCAGGCGAGGTGGCGGGCGCCTGTAGTCCCAGCTACTCGGGAGGCTGAGGCAGGAGAATGGCGTAAACCTGGGAGGCGGACATTGCAATTGCAGTGAGCTGAGATCAAGCTACTGCACTCCAGCCTGGGCGACAGAGCGAGACTCCGTCTCAAAAAAAAAGAAAATGAGCATGGATGGCGGTGCAGAGCCCCAGAGCCCACCTCCGGGTTAAAACTGTTACCATTGGCCTATTCTCACATTCTCATCCTCAGCAGGGAGCGTGCCCACCCCCACATCCAGGGTGCTATGTGCAGAGGAAGGGGGCTCCCCTTAACATGGGCAGTGCCGGTGGGCTGGGGAGTGGTCTCTGCTGGCAGGATGAACTGACCTCGCTTGGGCAGTTCTAACAGCTCCTAATGCCACCTGCTGCTTCTCTAGGACCAGTTGCCCTGTAATGACTTGCTTAAGACATTTGTTACAAAAGCATGGCCAGGCCTCACCTTCAGATATTCTGATTCAGGGGGACCCTCCCTGGTCACTGTGACACCAGGTTGGGTGTAGAACCAGATGGATCCAAGGGGACTCTAGCACCCTGCAAAGCTGAGTGTCAGAAAGGGTGGCACCTGGCCCTGGGCACGACTGGGGGTGTGTCGGTCCCAGGGCAAGGCTGCTGTGGCCATCTGCAGGTCCACAGGACCCTTTGTGGCTGGGCGGACGGGGACAGGCAGACCTCCTTCAACCCCAGTGATGAAGGGGAGGGAATGGCCCAGACGGGGTCCCTTTGGCTGTGGCTCTAAGGGGGCAGGGAAGCAGCTCCTTGGCTCTCCTTGCCCCCAAGTGCCCCCCAGCATCCGGGAGGATGGGCGCAAGGCCAACGTGTCGGGCATGGCCGGGCAGTCCCTGACGCTGGAGTGTGACGCAAACGGTTTTCCGGTCCCTGAGATCGTGTGGCTGAAGGACGGGCAGCTGGTGGGTGTCCCCCCAGGGTGGGCGGGCTGTGGGTAGGATTTGGGCTGGGGACAGGCCTTCTGGATGGGCGTTCCTGCGTGTGCCACGGTGGGGCAGGGAGATGTGACAGGTGTCTTTTGTCCTGCTCTGGGGTTCAGGGCAGTGGAGGACGGTGGTCATGTGATGAAGCCTGGCAGGGGGCTGCGTGGCAGAGAGCATGGCACCGTTCTGGCCACCGGCCACCTCTCGGGCCTCAGTTTCCTCATTACTGATGCTGGGGGTGGTGGCTGGATCCCCGCTTACTGGCTCCCTCTGGCCTCTCCTACCCAGATCCCTAAGGTGGGTGGCCACCGCCTGCTGGACGGGGGCCAGTCCCTCCACTTCCCCAGGATCCAGGAGCGTGATTCTGGGCTCTACTCCTGCCGGGCAGAGAACCAGGCTGGGACCGCCCAGAGGGACTTCCGTCTCCTTGTGCTCAGTGAGTGAGGCCTGAGCCCCGCAACTCCCAAGTGCATCTGACCCTGTAGCCCCAACTCTTGCAGGCACACGGGGAGAGAGGGGAGACATTGCCTGCGGAGAGCAGGGGGCACAGAGGCGCCCATGACAGACCCAACCCCCATCCTCACAGAGCTGTCAGGCTCAGGGAACAGACATTAGACAGGTGATGAGCAAAGTCATTAGTGTCACAAGTGCTATAAAAGGGCAGCCTGGGTGCTGAGGGCTCCAGGGCAAGCCCATCTGGCCAGGGTTCTAGGGGGCTTCCCAGGAAGGTCGGGTAGGAGAGGGCCCAGACTGGGGGTCTGCACAGACAAAGGCCCCGTGGTAGGCAGGGCTTGGAGGGTTTGAACAGTTTCCCACCCATCACCCCTTCTCACCTCTAGCCCCTCCTTCCGTGCTTGGAGCCGGGGCCGCTCAGGAGGTGCTGGGATTGGCTGGTGCAGACGTGGAGCTGCAGTGTTGGACCTCAGGGGTCCCCACGCCCCAGGTGGAGTGGACCAAGGACAGGCAGTGAGTGGCTCCCACCGGAGGATGGCGTGGGGTGGTGCCTAGACTGGGCCTGCTGGATGTGGGGGTTGGGGGAGGTTGAACTCTTCTGGGGGAGCTGACAGGCATGGCATGTGCCACCCAGGGCCCAGACTGAGGGCTGTAGGGGCGCCTCCCACCCTGTGGGAGATGAGCCAGGGAGACCCCACTCTTGCCTCAGCAAGGTCTTCAGGTCTTTCATCACTTAGCCTTTCCATTTTTTTTTTTGAGACAGGGTCTTGCTCAGTTGCTCAGGTTGGAGTGCAGTGGAACGATCTCAGCTCACTGCAGCCTCAAACTCCTGGGCTTCTTGGGCTCAAGAGATCGTCCCACTTCAGCCCCCCAAATAGCTGGGACCGCAGATGTGCACTACCAACAACGGGCTAATTTTTTAAAAAATGTTTGTACAGATGGGGTCCTGCTTTGTTGCCCAGGCTGGTCTCGAACACCTGGCTTCAAGCAATCCTCCTGCCTTGGCCTCCCAAAGTGCCGGGATTACAGGCATGAGCCACTGTGCCCAGCCTCTTTTTGTAAACTCACTTTTTCTCTAAGTAAAATTTATATAACAGGCTGGGCGTGGTGGCTCACGCCTGTAATCCCAGCACTTTGGGAGGCCAAGGCAGGCAAATCACCTGAGGTCAGGAGCTATCAGCCCTGTCTCTTATACACATCTAGATGTGTATAAGAGACAGTCCCCGCACTTTGGGAGGCCGAGGTGGGCAGCTCATGAGGTCAGGAGATCAAGACTATCCTGGCTAACACGGTGAAACCTCTTCTCTACTAAAAATACAAAAAAAATTATCCGGGCGTGGTGGCGGGCTCCTGTAGTCCCAGCTACTTGGGAGGGTGAGGCAGGAGAATGGCTTGAACCCGGGAGGCAGAGGGTGCAGTGAGCCATCTCACTACTGCACTGCAGCCTGGACAACAGAGCAAGACTCAGTCTCAAGAAAAAAAAAAAAGTTGTACAGTGTAGTGGCTTTTAGTACATTTGCAGCATTGGGCAACTTTCACTTCTATTTAGTTCCTGACATTCCATCACCCCAAAAGGACTCCCCGGATCCATCAGCAGCCAGTCACTGTCCCCCTCTCCCCAGCGCCTGGCAACCACAGCCTGCTTTCCTGCTCTATGGATTTGCCTGTTCGGGGCACTTCACGTCACTGGCATCATACATAGAGCGTGTGGCCTTTTGTGTCTGGTTTCTTTGACTTGGCATGTTTTCCAGGTTCATTCGTATTGTGGAGAGTGTCAGAATTGCCTTCATTTTTGTGGCTGAATAATGCTCTGTGGCATGGACGGACCACACGTTGTTGATCCGTTCCTTGCTTACTGGGCCTTTGCGTTGCTCCCACCTCTTGGTGCTAATGAATGGCCCAGCCTCGCTTTTCACAAGCCACACACTCCCTGTGTGCAGCCTGCCCCCATCAGCGCCTCGGCCTTACCGGCACTTTTCCCTTGCCCGTCTCTCCAGGCCTGTCCTTCCGGGAGGCCCTCACCTGCAGGTCCAGGAGGATGGCCAGGTTCTCAGGATCACCAGCAGTCACGTGGGGGATGAGGGACGATACCAGTGTGTGGCCTTCAGCCCAGCTGGTCAGCAGGCCAGGGACTTCCAGCTCCGAGTTCATGGTGAGCCCCAACGCCTTCCGGGACCCTGCCACAGGCTACACGGGAAGCTTCCTGCCCGGTTGCCTGCTGCCTTGGAGGGAGGGTAAGGGCTGAAATGGGGAACCTGGTAAGTGATCCCTGAGTCCAAGAAAGCCGGGGTCGGGGTGAGGGTCAGGGTCAGGGGATAGGGTATCTGGCCCAGCATTTTCCAAACCCATGGTTTCCATCCCAGCTCTAAAAATGTACTACCTTTTTTTGTTGTTTGTCTGAGATGGATTCTCTCTCTGTTGCCCACGCTGGAATGCAGTGGCACCATCTCGGCTCACTGCAACCTCCACCTCCCAGGTTCAAGCGATTCTCCTGCCTCAGCCTCCCGAGTAGCTGGGATTACAGGCACCTGCCACCACACGCAGCTCATTTTTGTGTTTTTAGTACAGATGGGGTTTCACCATGTTGGCCAGGCTGGTCTCAAACTTCTGACCTCAAGTGATCCTCCCGCCTTGGCCTCCCAAAGTGTTGGGATTACAGGCGTGAGCCACTGTACCTGGCCCAAATTTACTACTTCTGAACCTCTTGGAGTGATGATTTCTTTTACTTTTCTTTAAATGAGTCACACTTCCTTATGCTGAAACACATGTATTTAAATATCACTTACTCTTATAACAGATATTTGATATCGAAACGGTAAACAGAAAACCAGTGCCGCTTGGCTGAGGAAGCTGAAAAAACAAACACCCCGTAAAGCAATGTTGTAAATCCTCAAGGCGTGGACTCCGCAGAGGGTACCCAGCCTGCCTCTGTACTCTCTGTGCTAAAAAGCAGAGACTAGACAGTGCTAGAAAGTTCAGGGACATGCATAGTAGCACCAAATGCAGCCTTTCCTTGCTGTAACCAGGATAGAAGAAGATTTGGGAGGGGTGTAGCCGTTTCATTCTGAGATGCGGTTATTTCATGCTGTGCCCGTGTGCCCCCTAGAATCGTCCTGGGTAGCGTCGGTGGTGGGTGACCAGCCGTGTGCAAAGTCCTCATCTAGTCCAGTCCCTCATTTCACAGATGGGGAGACTGAGACCCAGAGAGGGGAAGTGGCTTACCCCTGGTATTCCAGTGAGTTAGAGGCAGAACGGGGCCCGGAATCCAAGCCTGTGGCCCCGCCCCCACCTCCTGTACCTTCCACACCAGCATGTCCCCATGCTGGCCTCTGCCATCTGTCCCCAGACCCCGCCCTCTTTGTCCCCCATGCCTTCTCTGCCCCCGCAGTGGAAGCCTGTGGTGTCTCCTTTGTCCCCCATGCCTTCTCTGCCCCCGCAATGGAAGCCTGTGGTGTGTCTTGTGGGCCAAAGGCATGAGTCTGCTGACCTGGAGGAGATGCCAGTGGTCTCAGGGGCTGTCTGTGACCAGCCCCTACCACTTTCCTTCTCAGCGCCCCCCACTATCTGGGGCTCCAACGAGACAGGTGAGGTGGCTGTCATGGAGGGCCACCTGGTGCAGCTTCTGTGTGAGGCCCGAGGAGTGCCCACCCCAAACATCACCTGGTTCAAGGATGGGGCCCTGCTCCCCGCCAGCCCCGAGGTGGTCTACACTAGGGGCGGTCGGCAGTTGCAGCTGGGGAGGGCCCAGAGCTCAGATGCCGGCGTCTACACCTGCAAGGCCAGCAATGCTGTGGGGGCCGCAGAGAAGGCCACCAGGCTGGACGTTTATGGTGAGCAGCCAGGGGCCACGGCAGCTGGCGTGGGCAGTGGGAGGGACTCAGTCATGGTGGCCCCTGCCTGTCTCCAAAGGAAGGCGAGGTGGCCACTTGGAGTTGTCAGAGGCAAAAGGATAATGGGACCAAATCATTATCTAGGGAGAAGGGTCCTCCCAGCTCATGCAACTTCCCTCATACACGTAAGGAAACTGAGGCCAGGAGTGGAAAGGCCCGTCTGGGAGGTCATGGTGGAGCTAAGTGTAGAATCCAGGTCTGCCCTCATGGTGTGGGCCTTTTCACTGAACCATGCCCACACCCCCGTGACCACCACAATAATTAACTGCCCTTCGTTAGTCACTTCTGTAAGCTAGACCAGAGGGGTACTTTGCAGCATCAGCTCAATTGATCAGCTGGCAAAGGGACTTGAGGTCTCGTGTCCCCAGTTACAGATGGTCACGGTGAAGCCCTGGAGCGGAGAGGTTTCTCCAGGTTCACACCACTAGGAGGTGGTGGGACCCGGTCCATACGTGGGCAGATCTGACTCCAGACCTCATGCTGGGAACCTCAGCATCAGCTCAGCCCTGAGGGGCTTGGCTCTGGGGACCTTGGAAGGAGAACTCAGAGGAAAGGGTGTCGGTGGCTCTGGATGGGTCTGAGCAGGCCCCGGTGAAGTGTGAGAGGGCAGTGTGCAAGCTGATAGGGGTCAGCCCGGCCCCCCGTGGGCAGTCAGTTCGGGAGCTCTGTTTTCCAAAGATGCAAAGGGCTTGGGTGTCGGAGCCTCAGGGACCCCAGAGGGCAGTTGAGCTGCATGGGCTCTGTGGCAGCCTCTGAAGATGGCCCTGCTGCTGGTTCAGGGACTCTTATTTTGGGCCCCAAGGTCCCCCAGGAAATGAAATAGAAAACGTGTATGTCTATGCTTTTATTACATTTTCAAAGGGTCTTATGCCCAAATAAGGTTAAGAAGCATTTCCCAGGCCACGGTTGCCCCTTGTCCCCTGGTAATGGCTTCATCAGCTCAGCAACTTTAGAGGCTCCTTGAGGGTAAGAGAGAAATTTCCCCTCTGGCATGGCCACCATGAGCTCCAAGCATAGTTAACGTCTGGTCCCCTTGGCCGTCGCTGGCTAAGTTAGGAGCTCCCCAAGCCAAGCCATCTGGGCTCAGGTCTGCCCCAGTCTTTTGCCTCCTGAGACCAGGGAGGGAGGGGACTTCCAGGAGCAGAGCTCTGTCCTGGCCCTGGGGGTCTCATTTGAGTCCAGCAGGTACTGGACCTGTCATGTGTAGACATTGGGGATGCAAGTAAGCCCGCCCTGGTCCCACTCATGCTGGGCTTGCCGGGGTAGCAGCGGGGATGGAGAGGCAACAGTCCGCACCCAGGGGTGGGGTGGTGCACCCAGGGGCTGAGGAGGGTGAGAACGCTGCCCCGGGGTCTGAGCAGGGGGTTCAGCTAGTGGAGGTGAGGGAAGGAAGTGTTTCACATGGAGTGGGTTTGCTGAGGGGCTTCAGCGGGCCTGTTGGGCTGAGATGAGAGCAGGCTAGTGTCCGGCTGCGGTCCCCAAGCCACCACCCCCTGCCTCTTTTCCAGTCCCACCCACCATCGAGGGCGCCGGCGGAAGACCATACGTGGTGAAGGCTGTGGCTGGGAGGCCCGTGGCGCTGGAGTGCGTGGCCAGAGGCCACCCGCCCCCGACCCTCACCTGGCATCACGAAGGGCTGCCTGTGGCAGAGAGCAACGAGTCTCAGCTGGAGACAGGAGGCAGCGTGCTAAGGCTGGAGAGCCCGGGGGAGGCATCCACGGGCCTGTACAGCTGTGTGGCCAGCAGCCCTGCCGGGGAAGCCGTGCTGCAGTACTCCGTGGAGGTGCAGGGTGAGCCCGGCCCACTCCACTCGGAGCTGCCTGGGCTGTGGACTCTGCCCAGACCTGCTGCGTGCTTGTCCTGAGAGAGCTCCTGGAGTGGAGGGAGGGTGGGGAGAAGTAACCAGTGTCCCTTCATTGCATGACACAGATGAGGACACTGAGGCCTGGGCTGAGGGGCCGGCAGGGCTAGGAGTGGGCAGGGTGGAGCCCCAGGATCAAGGGTCCCTGACCGTGCCCAGGACCCTGGGCCGGGTCACCCAGGACAGAGAACCTCGTTCTGCCTTCTGCCAATGGAGGGGCCCTTTACGGAGACTTTCCTAAGGCCGGCTTGTGGGTGTGGTCCCAGCAGGAGGGGTAGGGCCTTCGCCTGCTCTTCCGTCCATTGCCGAAGCATCTCAGGTACTAGTGCTGTGCTGGCCCCAGGTAGCACTGGAAATGAAGCTGGGAACAAGGCCAACCGGACTCCTGAGCCCTCAGTCTGCCGGGGAGGCAGATGTTAAATAATCAGGCCCAAGCCTTTAGGGAGCCCAGGGTGTCCCCTCACCCTCCTTGGGTGGCCCTGGAAGGCCTCCTGGGGAAGGGGCCACTGACAGGGAGACCTGAGGGTGAGGTGAGACTGGGCCTCGCTCCAAAGGCACTGGGGACTTGGGAGGGTTTGCGGCCAGTGGCTGCTCAGCTGCAAACACCCAGGAGTGTGTTCTGCCCGCAGTGCCCCCACAGCTCCTGGTGGCTGAAGGCTTGGGACAGGTGACCACCATCGTGGGACAGCCCCTGGAACTTCCCTGCCAGGCCTCAGGCTCCCCGGTACCCACTATCCAGTGAGTCTGGGGTGGTGGAGGCCAGGGCTGGGGGTGGACAGAGAGCGTGTGCTTTGCAGGTTGTGGGGGAAGCGGACAGGAGAGAGGCTTCCTGTTCCCAGGACTGGGAAAGAGGCCTGGAGCTGCAGCTGGTGAGAGCAGGTGGGAGGAGCTTCTGGGCTTCCCACTTGTCCTGCCTGGCCTGGCCTTCCCTGTCCTCAGGTTGACCCGCCCTCCTCCCTGCTCATCTTAGGTGGCTGCAGAATGGTCGCCCAGCTGAGGAGCTGGCCGGGGTGCAGGTGGCCTCACAGGGGACCACACTGCACATTGACCATGTGAAGCTGGACCACTCAGGCCTCTTCGCCTGCCAGGCCACCAATGAGGCGGGCACTGCCGGGGCCGAGGTGGAGGTGTCTGTGCATGGTGAGTGGGCACCTGGGGTTCTGGGACTGTGGGCAGCCTGAGATGTCAGAGGTGGGTGGAGCCAGAGGACTGTAACAGGCCTGGAAGGACATGGGGCTGGTCTTCTCTGGATGACATTTCTGGGCTGGACTTTCCAGTTCCCCACAGAGACGCAAGTGTGAGAGGCTGGCTGGGCCACTTACCACACTTATCCTCTGTTCTGTCCAGCCCCTAGGCCTCACTCCTCTCCCCAGCTTCCTCTTTCTCCATCTGCTCTCTTCATGCTAACCACGCTGAACTTCACTTAGTTCTTTTAATATATCAACCCTCTTTCTCTCACCTTCGAGTCTACGTATGCTGTTCCTTCCGCCTGGAACATTCTCCCTCCTCTTTGCTTCCCTAGCTCCTTATCTTTCAGGCATATCCTGAAATACTCTTCCTCCAGGAGGACTTCCTTGATTCTACCATGTTTCTCATCTGCACTACCCAACCTCTCAATGCCTTAGCCCTCCACCCACTACATTGGGATTACTTATTTGGTTGTCCATCTCCACTGTCCACCTCTGTGAGCTTTGAGAGGGCAGCATGGTAGCTGCCTTTCCCTGCTGTGTCCAGGGGCCGAGTATAGTTCTGGCCACAGAGTAGATGCTCAGCACACATAAGGATGTGTGGATAGATCAGTGGGTGGATGGGTGGATGGGTGGATGGGTGGGTGGATGAATGGGTGGACAGATAGAAGGATGGATAGATGCATGGATGGATGGATGGATATGGATGGATGGATGGATGGATGGATGGATGGATGGATGGATGGATGGATGGAAAGGTGGATGGATGGGTAGATAGATGGAAGCACGGGTGGATGGATGGGTAAATGGATGGATGGATGGATGGATGGATGGATGGATGGATGGATGGATGGATGGGTGGGTAGATGGATGAATGGGCGGGTAGATGGATGGATGGGTGGGTGGGTGGATGGATGAGTGGATAGGTGGCTGGGTGGATGGAAGAGTGGGCAGATGGATGAATGGGTGGGTGGGTGGATGGATGGATGGGTGGATGGGTGGAGGGATGGATGGATGGATGGATGGAAGGGTGAGTGGATGGATGAGTGGGTGGATGGATGGAAGGGTGAGTGGGTGGATGGCTGGCTGGATGGGTTGGTAGATGATGGATGGGTGGGTGGATGGATGGATGGATGGATGGACAGACAGATAGGTAGATGAATAAATGAATGAATAGATGCATGGGTGCATAGATGGATGGGAGGATTTTTAAAGGGAATAACTATTCTGCTGGCTCCCCGTCTAGAGCTCTTTCCCCTAAGCCATGTGTCTGGGGGATATGGTGGGCAGAAGCTAGATGCCAGCCTTTGGCCAGCCCTTCAAGGCCACCTTCTCACCCCCAGGCATTGAAGGGGTTGCTGGGTGCCCTCTGTACCCCTCCTGATTCTGACCCAGGCTCTTCCTGACTCTTTCGCTTACCAGAGTTCCCATCTGTCAGTATCATTGGGGGTGAGAACATCACAGCTCCTTTCCTGCAGCCTGTGACCCTCCGATGTGTAGGGGATGGGGTGCCTACCCCAAGCCTCCGTTGGTGGAAGGATGGTGTAGCCCTGGCAGCCTTTGGGGGGAACCTACAGGTACGTGCAGGGGTCCCAGGGCTGGCGAGCCAGCTGGGCACAGGTGGAGGGGCTGCTCTGGGGGCTTCCTGGAGACTCTGAGGAAAACCCAGCAGCCTGGGGATAGGAAGAAAGGGTGAGCCTCAGCCTCTTCCCGATCCTAGGAGCTTCAGTTGTCAGAGGGAGAAAATGTCAGCCGGGGGGCACAGGGAACGGTATGCCTGGAGATGGGACGAATCCCTGGAATCTGAGTGCTTGGCTCAGAACCCAACCCCCAGAGCCAAAAGTGTCCCCATGCCTCACTGCTCCTGACCCCGGGCTCGGCAGCAGCCTGGCCACTCGCCATGTCCTGTCATCCTGTGGCACACTCTCTGTCCCCTCCCCTCCAGATTGAGAAGGCGGACCTAAGGGACGAGGGCATCTACACTTGTGCCGCTACCAACCTGGCTGGGGAGAGCAAGAGGGAAGTGGCCCTGAAGGTTTTGGGTGAGGATGTGGGTGACCAGCAGGGCCCAGGCCAAGGATGTTGGGTGATCCCTTGGGGACCCTTGGGGCTGGGATGTGTGGCTAGAGACGGGGAGGAGGTTTTTCAGTCATAGTTGTGCACTTAACTTCAGAGGAAGTAGAAAGCCCTGAAATGAAAGCATTAGCAATAGCTCTGTAGTCCCTTTTGGCTGCTTTTGGTGGGATTTTTAGTAGCAGCCCTTGCCCACATTCATATTTACCTTTGCTTATTTTGGGAGTTTCTTTGCAGGGAAATCCCTGTCCTTGTCCCTTTCCCTGGCTGTGCTGGCTGTCGGCTGTCCTGGGGTGGGGGCTGGGTGCTGTATGATTGCTGTAAGGATGGCAGCCTGTTGCTCTTTGGTCTTGGGTTTGGTTCCAGGAGTGGGGTTGCTTAGTCTGAGGACGTGAGTTGTTTCAGAGCCCTGTTGTCTAGGATTTTCTATGGGGAGCAGGGAGCAGCACTGCTGGGATGGCTGGGATTAGAGCTGCCCAGAGCTTACACCTACCAAGCTGGGTCTCTCCTTGTCTGCCCCTAGTGCCCCCCAACATCGAGCCAGGCCCAGTCAACAAGGCAGTGCTGGAAAATGCCTCAGTGACCTTGGAGTGTCTGGCTTCGGGCGTGCCTCCTCCTGGTAAGACGCCTCCTCTTGGCTGAAAGCTACTTCCAGGCCAATTCACTGTCTAATGAGGCTGGCGAGTGACCCAGGGACCCTCTGACTGGACGTAATGGGAAGAAATCAGCAGGTCTTTCCCCCCATTTCTCTCATTTTCCTCTCTTCCTCTTCAACAACGTCCTTCGGGCCAAGGCACTGCTGAGGTCCAGAGCCCGGGGTCTGAAACAGGCCTGCCGGGCTTCTACTCACAGTCAACTGCACAGGGCTGTCCGGGGCTGGGGGCGAGGATCAGGACCTCAGAGTCATCATCCGGTCTGTAGGGTCCTCCCCTGTAGACCAGCAGTTGAGGAAAGGGCCGGGCGCTGGGGTCTGGGTGTGAGTGTTTGCACAGGGGACTGGGTGAGGCTTACAGTGACCCAGGAGGGGGGCCCTTCTCCGATTCTCATCTGAACTGGCCCACCCTGCTTTACTTGTGGCCTATGAGCCCTGGGGATATTTGCCTCCTCTCGTGGGGACGCCTGCTGAGTTCCAGGGGGGCGCGGCCTGACAGAATGAAGGCAAGCTGCAGATACACGTGTTCCAGCCTGGCTTTGAGGCTGCTGCTTTGGGCTGGTCCACGTTCTCTAATGCTCCCTAGGTGAGGGGGTCTCCTGGTAGGGGAAGGGCAGGGCTGAGTTTGACTCTCTCTGCTCCTGGCTGCCTCAGCCTCTGCCCATGGGGCTTCTTCTTCATCCTTGGTCCTGTCTTGGGCAACATTGCCCGGTTCCACCCTGGCTCCCTTTTGTGAATGAAGAACTCTGACCTCTAATGCCTGAAAAAACAGTGTGGCCACCCTGGAAGGTTCTCTTGGATGCCCACCACACCAGCAGAGTCTGACGGGCTGGCAGCACCCTTGCACCTCTCTTCCATTCCCCCTTGCATCTCTCTTCCATTCCCCCTTGCATCTCTCTTCCATTCCCCCTTGCATCTCTCTTCCTTTCCCCAGATGTCTCCTGGTTCAAGGGCCACCAACCTATCTCTTCTTGGATGGGAGTGACAGTATCAGCAGATGGGAGAGTTCTCCGCATTGAGCAAGCCCAGCTTTCTGATGCTGGGAGCTACCGCTGTGTGGCATCCAATGTGGCAGGTAGCACAGAGCTGCAGTTTGGCCTACGGGTCAATGGTGAGCATCCCTGGGCCTCTAAGGGCCCTTGTCCAAAATGTTGGCTTTTCATCCATTTGTCTGTTAGTCTGTCCATCCACCTGTCCACTCATCCATCCATCTACCACCCCATCCATCCATTACCCCATCCATCCATCAGCCATCCATCCATCATCCATCCATCATCCATCCATCCACCCATCCACTCATCCACCTATCCACCCATCCATCCATCAATTCATCCATCCATCCATCCATCCATCCACGTATCCATCTATCCATCCATCCATCCATCCATCCATCCATCCATCTATCCATCCATCCATCCATCCATCCATCCATCTATCCATCCATCCATCCATCCATCCATCCATCCACCCACCCAACCATCCTTTCATTCATTTATCTAGCCACCTGTCTGCTCACCCATCCACCTGTCCATTTGTCTACCTGTCCACCACCCATCCATCAACTCATCTATCCATCCATCCATCTACCTACCCATCCACCCATTCACCATCCATTCACCCATTCAACTACCCATTCTTTCATTGATCCACTTTCTATCCAACCACATTTATTGAGTCCATGCTCTGGGACAGACACTGGACCTACAGACCTAAATAAGACAGACCTCAGAGCTTTCAGTCAGTGGAGGACACAGCAAATTAGATCATTCCCCAGAGTACTACTTGATGTCAATTGTGATAACAGCTGGTAAACATGAGGTGCTACTGAGCACCTATAACAGGGCACTGACCTGGCCTGTGGAGTCCAGGAGGCATCTTTGATACTTGGATACCTACACTGAGGTCTCTGCCAAGGCCTGAGGTTGCAAAGACCTGGGGAATTTGAGAAACTGAAAGGAGGCCACGGGGCCAGGATGGTGCTGGTGGCCATATGGAGGCCGGACCTCTTGGGCCTCATGGGCCATGGGAGAGGTTGGATCTAAGAACAGTGGGTAGCTGGGCAGGGGCCTGGGACCCTGAGCATCATGGCTGGTGCCTCCCAGATACAATGGAATCTTCTGGCTGTTTTCTGCCAAAAGGGGACTGCCTGTGATACCGTATTTAATCTCACACCCCTGAGTTAGGAAGTAGCACTGTCCAGGGACCCTTGGTCCCCTCCCTGTCCCCATAGTAAATGACCTTCTGCTGACCAGAGGCCTGCATGCGAGTGCTGCTTCCTGGCTGGTCAGCCTTAGGGCAGGTGACTTCCTGTCTGTGAGCCTCAGTTTCCCATCTATAGAAGCCTCGTGGTGGTGTTGAAAGGATGGAATGAGTAGCTTCAGGGGCAGTGGAGTGGCTCAGAGCCTGTGTCTGGATGGCTGTCCTTGTGCTTTTGCTGTGACTGTGTGCTCCTGCAGGGGTGCCCAGCCAGGGGCCCTGCCTGCTTTGCCCCAGTGGGGCTCAGCCTGTGCCCCATGTCACCCCTGTCCTGCAGTGCCCCCTCGAATCACGCTGCCACCCAGCCTGCCAGGCCCTGTGTTGGTCAACACCCCTGTCCGTCTGACCTGCAATGCCACCGGTGCCCCCGGCCCCATACTGATGTGGCTGAAGGATGGAAACCCTGTGTCCCCTGCAGGGACCCCTGGCTTGCAGGTCAGTAGGACTGGGTGACCCCGGCTCACCTCCCTGCACCTCCCGTGGATGCTGGGGACAGAGGTCAGGCCCTGGGAGCTTAGGGTGAGGGAGAAGCAGTGATAGCCCAGGGCCGAGGGCTGGAGGGAGGTGAGGCTGAACAGAGAGGCTGGAGCCACAGTGCCCAATGGTAATGATGCATTCCATGAACATGAACCATCTATGTCATTGTAAATGTTCTTGTAGCCACAGTAAACTGAGTAAAAAGAAACAGGTGAGATCAATGTTAATAATACACGTTAGCTAATCCACTATATCCAAAATAGCTTCGTTTCATCATGAGATCAATAAAAAATAGTTATTGAGATATTTTATATTCTTCTTTTCATATTAACTCTTTTTCGTCTGTGGCATATTTTGTTCCTGGGGCCCGTCTCAATTTGGCCTGGCCACATTTCAAGGGCTCACTGGCCATGTGTGACGAGTGGACAGAGGGGCTCTAGAGGACTCTTCCTGAGGTCCAATGTCATTGCCTGCCAGCTGGCAGAGGTCCAGAGGCCCAGATGCAACCCTCAGTTTCCCTGCATCATGAGGGGCTCTGAGGGTCTGGGGCAGGCTGTCCGGGTGTGCCGGGCAGCAGGGCCAGCTTGGGCACGTGGGGTTCTGCCCCTTGGGGTGTGCAACAGCAGGACAATTGCCTAATTTGGGCTTCCCCCTGGGGTCACAGGTCTTCCCTGGGGGCCGGGTCCTCACCTTGACCAGCGCCCGGGCCTCCGACTCTGGGAGGTACTCCTGCGTGGCTGTGAGCGCGGTGGGCGAGGACCGCCGGGATGTCGTCCTGCAAGTCCACAGTGAGTGTCAGACTGGGAAAGGCACGTGGTTCAGAGCAGCAACTCCAAGGAGATGGGGTGGGGGGCATTCCCGGTCACTTCCAAAGGGAGAGGGGCTGGGTGGATGGAGGAGTGCCCAGCTCTGAGAACAGCTGCCTTCCAGTACGGATCAGTGAGCTCCAGACCTGCCCTGGAGTGTGAGCTCCCGCATCGGGTGGCAGGGTGGGCAGGTGGCCCCGCATAGCCAGGAGTTCTGCCCTGTGTTCAGGGAGAGGCGGAAGCGGTGTGAAGTAGCAGGAGCAGCGTGGAGTGATGGCTAGGAAAGCTGGCTCTTGAGTGTCACCGACCTGGGGTTCAAACCCTGCCTCTGTGACTTTGAGCTGGTCACTTTGCTTCTCTGAGCCACCATTTCTTCATCTGCAAAATGGGAAGAATAGCACTCACCTCAAAGGTCATCATGGGGACTCACTA